AAAGAGAACGTTATATGCTGTTCAATTGTGTTTGCTTTGCATTTTCTACCTCCCATATTTCTTTATACCTTATTTTTCATTTTTTAATGGGCCATTGTTATTTCATTACATTAGCATGGGAATAGTTTTTTTTGTTTTGGTATTTCTCAACCACTGGATATAAAGGAAGTTCCCAGTTTTTTGCTATTATAAATAGTTTTGAACTTACGGGGCTTTTGCTTTGATTATATTAGTAGTGGATAAAGTGCTTAAAGCCAAGAAGACTTGGGTTCAACTCTCACTTTTAACATATAATGGCTTTGTGACACTGGACAAGTCACTTCATCTTTCAGTTCTATAGACAACTCTCTAAGACTGTAATTTGCAGAAAAATGCTGGCCAGCATTGATAGAGAGAGTTCCTTCATCTAGGAGCTCCCTAGATTAGTGAAATCATAGATTCCAGCCTTAATCTTTTAATATTTACTCCAGGTAGCAGGATAACTGCTCAAATGATATGATCAATTTGCAGTTTTTATGTGTGTATATTACTAGATGGTTTTCCAAAAAAGACCACTGATTTAGTACCACTAATAATCTAATAGAGTGCCTCTGTCCCCACATGCCACCAACACTGAATTTTGTTAATTATTTTTCCAATTTGAAGAGTATAGGGTAGTATTATCTCAAAGTTGTTTGATTTTTCATTTTTTCTGATTATAGAGTTTGAACAATTTTTAAACGATTATTCATAATTTGTGTTTTCTCTCTTAAAAATTGTTGCATTATGTGAAGCATTCATCCACTGAGGAGTTATTAGTTCTCTACACACACACATACATACACACATACCTCCAAATTGTTTCTTTTTATTTTGATTATTTTATTTTGCTGTATCATTTTAATTATATGTGTATTACATACATACATCTATAATATGTATATTTACTTTGTCTTATGAAGAAATGGAAAAATATTTCTTCTTTCCACAACTGAAATTTTTTTTAAAAAATTAAAATTAGATGAAATAAGTATATTTAAATCTAGATTTATTCAGCATTGTGTAAAATGTTTCACCTAAGCCAATTTTTTTCCTGTACTTCATTCCAGTTTTCTTAAAGATTTTTCTTTGGGATTTGGAAATTGGGTTCATCAAGCAATCTCCTGTTTATACTGATTCTACTTTGAGATTCTCTTTTCTGGTTGATTTATTTTTTCCATTTTTAAATTTATAGTATGTTTTGAAGTTAGCAAATTCTCATTTTCATAAACACTATTGTTTTCCCCTAATATTATAACCCTTTTGTTGTTTTGTTTACTATTGTAGTAAATCTGTGAATCAAATTTAAGTATTAGCACTTTTGATGCATTTGTTATCCCAATCATTTCCAAAGCTTATCTCTTTCATTCATTTCTTCTATCATTTCTGTGAAAACATTTTGCCTTTATAAACTCTTGATAGCTTAATAGGGAAGGGAATAAGCACTTATATATCATTTATATATTGTGCCAGGAACTATGCTGATTAAGTGCTTTATGATGATTATCTCATTTGATCTTCTTAGCAACCCTGTAAAGTAGGTGCTGCTTTTATCTCCATTTTGTAGTTGAGGAAATTGAGGCAAACAGAGAAATCTAACAAGTGTCTAAGACTGGATTTGAAGTCAGGTCTTCTGGACTTGAGACTCAGCTCTATATACACTGTGCCACCTAGCTGTCTCAGTATCCAAATATCCAAATATTTTATAGCTTTTGTCATTATTTGCATTTTCTTTTAATTTATAGGAATAGGAATTGGATCTGTGATTTCATTGGCATAGGGAACTCTTTGATGAGAAAACTCCCTGTATTAGTGCAGATCAGCACTTTCTCTGAAACTTAATAGTCTATAAAAGAGTTGCCTTGAGTTACACAGCCAGTGTATCAGAGGTAGACCTTAAAGCCCAGTCTTGTGAGCTCTGAGGTCAATTCGATTCACTGTGCCACACCGCCTATCTTGGTTTTTAGTGACTGTATAGAAAAGTTCATCATGTGTATGTTTGCATCACCTTTTGCCAGTCATTTATTTTCTCAGTTTTTCCATTACTGGTCACTCAGATTTGATAAGTTGTGAATATAACAATTTCAGTGAGCCAAGTAGTAACTTTATTGTAATGACTAATCAACAAATGTTTACTGCTTTCCTACATTGTTCAAGGTATTGTGCTTAGTATTATGGAGATGGAAAACCATAAATCCTAAGAGAATAAACTAAGAGAACTGTAGGGTGAAACTAAGAGTTTAACATACTCAGTATGCATTTAATATAATTTATTGCGATTCATAGCCAAATAATCAAGCCACTTTCCATCTCTGCGAAAAGGCTGAGGTCTTTCTTTTCTAGTAACCATTGCTATCTTGTATCTCCTTATCTTTGTCTTTTTGTCTTTCATATTTTCCTCTTCCTTGCTTTTCCCCTTAAGCCAAATGAAATGAAGTTATATCTTTTAAAATTTATTGTGTTTATTGATTAAAGTTCATGACCCATGTATAGTTTTAAAAGCTGCTGAGTTATATGTTTTATATTTTTATCCCTGCAGAGAACTCACAAAAAATTCTCAAATTTGTTTAAGCCAATAAACACACCCTCCTCTCCCCGCCCCAATAATATTTTTAAATGCATGAAATAAAATACATAAAGTTACAAAGGAAACCCAAGATTAGTGCATTTTTTTAAAAGATGAAATTTTTTTTCCTATCCAAGTTCACAGACCCCCTAAAATCAATTTATACATGGATCTAAGGTTAAGAACTTGTTTTAGGTGTTATGGGGCACATAAATATAAGACAAAGTCAAGTCTTCCCCCAAAATAGCTTACAGTTTAGTTTTTGAGACAGAGCTAGAATATAGAAAACAGTTAGAAAATAACTGTTAAAATGTTTGATTTTGACTATTATTGCAATAGGAACCCAAAATTGAAAGAGATTAGTATGGATTGGAGTAGTTCTAAAGGCTATGTGAAACCAAGAGGGACTTGAGCCAAACCTTGAAGGATGGGTAGAAATTAAATAAGCAGAGAGGGGAAAAGAGGGTAATCCCTGGAGAGTAGCATGAGAAAACGGCAGGAATGAACATAGTATTTGAGAAGCTAGTGACATATGCCTGAAGGGAACAGACGGTACTTTTTAGGGAGAATCAGGAAATGAGATAGGAAAGATGTAAGTTCTAGATTTATGTCTAGTCATAAGACATAGTAGATTAACTCTAGGTTGTAGGTCAAGAGAACTGGGTTCTAGCCCCTGTTCATTTACAAACTTCGTCTTTCTCAGCATGTTTCCTTATTCATAAAGTGAGGAGATTATACCAGATAATCTCATAGCCTTAAATTTCTATAATTTTATCAGATGTCAGCTAAAATCTTGGTTTAGACATGAAGAACAAAAGTAAGCATGTTAAA